ACGGATCGCGGCTGTCAAGTGGCTGCAAGGCCGACCAGCGAGAGCTGCAGCAGGGCGGAGGCATTTGCCTCACCTGGAGCGCGAAGGGGGGAAAGGGAATACGCCTTTTCCTAGCCAGGGGAACTGAGACCACACAACAACCTGGGAAAATCGGTAAAACTCCAACTTACTGCGCTTTAAGCGGGCTCTCTGAGCAGTGGTCAAGGGCTCCTCGGGGATGGATTACTTGCCCTTTCTCCCTAGAGAACTATGCACTCAGTACCTTTCACAGTTTACATTTTGAGTCAGTCCCCTTGGCCCGGTGGCCATGACAATGGAATTGTTTGGCCTGGCTATTTTAGACTCTAGGCTCAGAGCTGCCAAATATAGAAGGTTTTCTCTTTAATTTGCCTTCATCTCCTGTACTCAGTCCAAGTAACTTTTTACCAGTGAGAGTCTCAGACATGGCCTCTTAATAAATGATTAGTCAGGTAAGAGTGAATCAAGGCCATCCTGGTGTCTTCTGGCTTTACTGAAGGGCTCAGAGCACTGTGCATGTATAAGATGAGACTGGGGAGCTGGGGTATTTCCTAGAAACTATTGGTATGATGACATAAGGAGAAGAAACATGTATACAGAGGAAAAAGAGTTTAAGGTAACATACGGAATTTCTAACAAACTAAAATTTCTTAGAATTTTAAGCAAAATGGTTACTTTTATAATTAAAATAATCTTCATTTAAAACTTCCAAGAAGGCAGTAAGTACAGGCAAAGCTACTCAACATTATTAGTAATTAGGAAAAATAAAGTCACAATAATACCATTACCTACCAAAACGACTTTTAGAAAGCTGACAACACCAGGCCAGGTGCAGTGGCTCACGCCTGTAATCCCAGAACTTTGGGAGGTCGAGGCGGGCAGATCATCTGAGGTCTGGAGTTCAAGACCAGCCTGGCCAACATGGTGAAACCCCCTCTCTACTAAAAGTACAAAAAATGAGCCGGGCGCAGTGGTGCATGCCTATAGTCTCAGCTACTCAAAAGGCTGAGTCAAGAGAATCGCTTGAACCTGGGAGGCAGAGGTTGCAGTGAACAGAGATCATGCCACTGCACTCCAGCCTAGGCAACAAGAGTGAAACTCCATCTGGAAAAAAAAAGGCTGACAGCACCAAACGCTGATGAGAATGTGGAACCACAGGATTCCTCAAACACGGCTGGTGGGAACACAAGATGGCACAGTCACTTCGGAAAACGGTCTGACAGTTTCTCATAGAGTTAAACACACACTTACCATATGACCTAACAATCCCACTCCTGAGTGTTTAACCCAACGTAAATGAAAACATGCATCCACTCAAAGGCCTGCATCCAAGTGTCTATAGCATCTGCATCAGAATCACTCTAAAGGAAGCAGTCCAAATGTCCCCCAAGTGGTGAATAGCTAAACAGTGTATGAATTGTGGCACACTGACATTCACACGCTGGAGGACTACGCAGCAACAAGCAAAACACTGATACATCCAACAAGTGGGTGAGTTTCGTCATGCTAAGTGAAGGATGTCAAACACAAAAGTGACATGCCCTATTATTTCATTTACAGCTCACTCTGGAAAAGCTAAAACTGCATGGTCTGGAGATGAGAAGAAAAGGGGATTGACTGCAAAGAGACATGAAGAACCTTTTAGGGATGATGGAAATAGTCTCTATTTTAATCGTGTCAGTGGCTAAATGACTATATATACGTGTGCGAGACAGTGTGTGTGTGTCATCAAACTAATCTAACTGCATGTTAGAAGCAGTGAATTTTACTCTATGTCAATTATACCTCAATAAACTTGATTTAAAAAAAGTAAGTTCTTCAGCACCAAAAGAAAAGGCAACAAAAGTAAAAAGAGATAAATTAGACTACATCAAAATCAAAAACTTCTGTGCATCAAAGGTCACAATCAACAGAATGAAAAGGTAACCTATGGAATGGGCTAAAATATTTGCAGATTATATACCTGATAAAGGGTCAATCTCTGGATTGTATAAACCATTGCTACAACTCAACAACAACAAAACCAGTTCAAAAATGGGGAAAGGACTTGAGTAGACATTTCTCTAAAGAAAATACACAAATAGCCAACAAGCACATGAAAAGATGATCAACATAATTAATCATCAGAGAAATCAAAACCACAATGAGACAACACTTCAAACCCACTAGGATGGCTACTATCAAAAAGACAAACAGAAATTAGCAAGTGTTGGCAAGGATGTGGAGGAACTGGAACCCTTGTGAACTGCTGGTGGGAATGTAAAATGGTGCAGCCATTATGGAAAAAAATATGGCAGTTCCTTCAAAAAACTAATAATAGAAAGTACATTATGATCCAGTAATTCCACTTCTGGATATTCCACCCCAAAGAACTGAAAGATGTCTTGAAGAGATACTTGTACGTTCATGTCCATAGCAGTATTATTCACAACAGCCAAGCAGTGGAGCATCCCAAGTGTCCATTGAGAGATGAATGGATAAACAAAATGTGGTACATATGTACAATGGAATATTACTCAGCCTTTAAAAAGAAGAAAATTTTGGCACATGCTACAGCATACATGAACCTTGAGGCCGTTACACTAAGTGATCTAAGCCAGTCATACAAAGACAAATATTATATGATTCCACTTATATGAGGTACTTAAAGTAACCAAACTCATAGAAACAGAAAGTAGACAGGTGGTTGTCAGGAGCTGGAGGGTGGAGAATTTGAGGAGCTAGTGTTTAATGAGTACAGAGTTTCTGTTTTGCAAGATGAAGAGTTCTGGAGCTTGGTTGTGTGAAGGTACTTGACATTACTGAACTGTACACTTAAAAGTGGTTAAGATGGTAAATTTCATATTATGTATATTTTACCGCAATTTTGAAAAGTTCCTCAGTTTACACAACAGTAATGTGCTGTAATGGAAAAACCACAGGGTTCCAGGTCAGGAAGATGTGGTCCTTGACCCCGCCCTGCTTCTTTCTAGCTGTCTGACCCCTGCAAGGCTTCTTTCCCTTTCTAAATCACAGCTTCCTCATATGTAAAATGGGGATAATCATACCCAAGAACAAATTTAAGGGCTAAATGGAATCACAAGTATGGAAATACTCATGTGTCACTATACAAATGTCCGCTGTTCAAGAAAATGATGCCCAGAAGTGTCAATGAAATGGCTGATGTTTATACAATAAATTAGTGCCAAGGACAGGGCTACAACACAGGATTCCCAAGTCCCTGTCCAGTGCTCACTTCTCTACACCAGCCGCCTTTTGTTCTTGTACTTGTTGTATGTACAGAACAACTTTGACACCATCTGTCAGCTCACAGGGTCCCGTTTCACATTTTTTGCCGTAATTATGGGTTGACCCTCTCTTGATGCTTAACCCCATCTCTCTGAATGTGATTTCTTAACAATGCCCCTCAATGTCCAAACTGAGCAATGCGGGGGCATCTTGAGGAAGCACCTTGGAGACGTTGGTTCCCACTGAGCTGGTGCGTTCACAGCCATGTCACTGGCTACCCCTGTTCCATGCACTCACCTGACAAATGTAGGGTACAGCTCAGCATTCACCAGGCAGATCATTTGGAATGCAATGGTGATTCCCATTCGGCCAACACACATGAGTATGATGTTTAACCAGTGCAGGTCTGGAAAGGAAGCACAAAGAGGGTGTGGGTGGTGGATGGGGGCTTCGTTCTCTGAGTTACTGAGAGAGGCCACGGTGGGTCATGCTTGGACTGTCAGAGCTGGTGGGGCCTGGAAGGTTGTCTTATCTAACTTTCTCATTTAGAGATAAGTCAACTGAGTCTCAAGAGATTTGGGGATTTGATGATGACATATTCAAGAAGACTCCATTGTGCAGGGAAAAGAATGGGCTTTTTGAATCTCAGCCTGGTTTCCTGGGCTGTAAAATGGGAATAATGACACCCAGCTGACAGATCGTCATGAGACTTAGAGCTGATGTGTGTCAAATGTCCACTGTGACCACAGAATTTTAAAGTTGGCTTTTTATTTATTACATGATAGTATCCATTGCTAGTTCAGTGCCTGAAACACAAAAAGTACTCAATAAACATAATCCCCCTAGTAGTAGTTCTCAAACTAACAAAACAGATTTCTACTCCTCAATCTACTATTTGTTTCCAATACAGTTTTAACCAAAACACCTTTCGTAAAAGTCTCAGAGGCTGAGAATTAGGGAAGCGAGCCCTTGTTTCTCGCTGGCAGGCTGCTATGGGGTTCTTGACCATCTGAAGGCCCAGAAAGCCCTCTCCCTATTGAGAATGGTCAAAGATTTTGGCTCCACTGGAAAGAAGCTCAGATCCTTAATAACCACCAGCATCTTCTCTGCATGGGTTACCCCCAGCACTGAAATGCAAGTGACCCTGTGACACACCAGCTCACTATAAAGGCCTCTGCGGTCACAGACACGATGTCAGCTTGACCCTTGTCCCCAGATACTGGCTATTTATGGAAGTCTTGTTTCATTTCACTTAGCCAGTGTGAGGGTCCAAACGAGAGTGCCCCTCGCCCGTCTCATGGGTGCGATACAGTTTCTCTGCCTCCTGCAGCTCTCAGCCCTGATAGAGAAGCCAAGCTGAGCTTTCTGTTAAGGACCACACCTCATCTAGCTTCTAAAAGATAAAAGGCAAGCAGTTCACTCCAATGCCTCAAGGGAGGTCCACGTTCATAGGTCGTTAGCCTGGTGATGCTTGACCAGAGGTGAACAGCATCCCTGGCTTCCAAGAACTGACCATGACTCCACTCTGCACCACCAGGGCCACTTGTTACAGCAGCCAGAGGGATCCAGTTAAGACTGAAGTCAGGTCAAGTCCACCCTTGCTCAAAGCCACCAGTGGTTTCCTACCACTCTTGGGATGAAGTCCACAGCTGGCTATTTCCCAGCTCACTCCATGCCTCGCTCCACTGCTCCCCACGAGCTTGCCTGACCCTGGTCCCTAGATCCTGAACAGAACCCCCCAATGCCATACTCTTCTCCCCCCATGGGCCTTGCATGTGTCAGAAAACTCTCCCCAGATTTTTACATGGCTCTTCCCACTTCATTTAGGCCTCCTCAGACCTCCCGTGCCTGTTGTAGAAAGCACTGACATCCTTCTTTTTTCCTCTGGAATGTCAGCTCCATGGAGCAGGAACTCTTTCTGCTTTGCTCGTGGTTGAAATTCTAATGCCTAGATACCCGCCAGCCATAGAGAAAGCCTGGAGATATTTCCTGCTGGAGGAATGAATGACTGTCCCAAAATGTGATAAGGACTAAGACAGAGGGACGAGGGGCGGGCAGGAACTGGGAGGAGGAGGCTGGGGAGGGGACGATGCCTGGGCTCTGTCCAGGTGACACCTGAATGGACTTAGCCCTTGATCGCCCTCCTTCTTGGCACTCAGTGCTGTTAATTTTTTAAAAGTCTGCCCATCCATCACATCTTACCCAGGATTCCAAAAACAGAGAGATTGGGAAGAAAGTGGGCAAAATCTATTTCAAATCCATGCTGCCCCTTTTCCTGTGTTCTCTGTTCTTTCTCCATGAAAAAAGAGAAAAGAAAACTGAGCTTTCTTTCCCCACCCATTTTTCTTTCCAGCCTGATCTATACAGCCTAGTTCTTGGGCATACAGATTTCACAGAACGGTCTCTACAATACCCTGCCCGAAAGCCTGTCAAAATGACTCACTAAACCAACAAGTACAGAGCACATGCAATAAAAACTGAGAAAAGAGCAAATCTGCCCTTGTATTTATTTTACAACATATCCAAGAGCAGTGAATGTGAAAGGCAATTTATGTACTCAAATTAAAACTGACGGAAGTTAATCTGCTTTAGGTTTAAATGTAGCTTGGTTTATCTTTGATTGTAAGAATTACAGACTAAAGTATACATCCACCGAAATGGCCACTCTTAAAAAGACGAGCCATATCAAGTGTTGGGAGGATCTGGAATAATTAGAGCTCCCATGTGTTCCTGGGAGGAGCATAAAATGGTCTAACCACTTTGGAAAGCTGTTTGGCAGTGTCTGCTAGAGCTAAACATATGCCTCCCTGGGACCCAGCAAGTACGCTCACAGACCTGTACCCAAGGGAAATGAGAGCATGTGCCCACCCAAAGATACGTGCAAGGATGATTTTAGTCCCAATAAGTGGCAAATGTTGGAAACAACACAAGTGACAATCAACAGTGAAAGGGATGCAGAGTGTCATATTTACACAATGCAATGCTACACAATAATTTTGTTTGAAGTACCAACTACACTTTCATGTGACAACATGCGTGGATCTCATAGGTGCAATGATGAATTTCTTGTGCCTATAATCCCAGCACTTTGAAAGGCTGAGGTGGGAGGATTGCTTGAGTCCAGGAGTTTGAGACCAGCTTGGGCAACATAGTAAGACTCCATCTCCACAAAAAATGAAAACATTAACCTGGCATGGAGGCTCACGCCTGTAGTCCCAGCTACTGAGGAGGCTGAGGTGGGAGGATACCTTGAGCCCAAGAGTTCAAGGTTGCAGTGAGCTGTTGATTGCACCACTGAACTCCAGCCTGAATAACAGAGCAAGATTCTGTCTCAAAACACAACAACAACAACAACAACAACAACAACAAAAAATAGTGTATTTGGTATAGTGTCATCTACATGAAGCTCAAGAACAGACACAATCTGTGGTGACAAAGGGCAGGGTAGTGGTGACCTTGGAGGGGTGGCGGGGGTTGTTATGAAGGAGCATGAGGGAGGCTTTGGAGAAGTTGGCAATGTTCTCCATCTTTATGAGGATCATGCTGCCTGAGTGTACACATTTTTACACACTCATGGAGTCATGCACTTATTGTTTGCTGACTGTATGTATGTTAAAACTCAATTTAATTTTTTGGGTTTTTTTGTTTTTTGGTTTTTTTTGGAGATGGAGTCTCGCTCTGTCGCCCAAGCTGGAGTGTGTGATCTCGGCTCACTGCAACCTCCGCCTCCTGGGTTCAAGCCATACTCCTGCCTCAGCCTCCAGAGTAGCTGGGATTACAGGCACCTGCCATCAAGCCCGGCTACTTTTGTATTTTTAGTAAACATGGGGTTTCACCATGTTGGCCAGGCTGGTCTCGAACTCCTGACCTCAGGTGATCCACCTGCCTCTGCCTCTCAAAGTACTGGGATTACAGGCATGAGCCACTGTGCCCGGCCCCTCAATTTAAAATTTAAAAACACATCTTAGACAAAGGTAGCACCTCATCTTTGTTCTCATTCCAGAGGCTTATCAAAGAGTTACGACACTCTCTCCACACTTTGATTGCCTGGGAAATGATGAAAGCAGAGAACTCACCAGGTGAAATAAAAATCATGACAAGGCAGGCTGCTCCCGCCAACAGATTTGACACTGCTGTGGGGTAGATGCGGCCCACGCGGTCAATGGTGATGAGGGTGATGAAGGCCCCCGGAAATTCGACCAGCGTGGAGTAAAGGAAATCCAGGTAGAGGTTCCCGCTGGTGGCGCCCATGTGCAGGATCAGCCCCTGATAGACCACAGAGGCGGTGAACCTGAGCCGAGAGGAGGTTTCAAGTCAAAGGCGTGAGTCAGAGACTGATAAAGAAGCCCCTCCCAGATGGAGAAGAGCTTGAATCACTGGGTTTAGAATGCCCTAGAGCAATATAAGGAGAGGAGAGTAAAAATGAGAGAGCATGTCCTAGAAGGGCCCTTGATGATAAATTTTTTTTCATGATAGATGTGAGAGTATCACTTGTAGGATATGCCCCCCAAGTCTCCTGGAGATTGCACGTGATGATGGCTACTGTTCACCACACACTTAGATGTCTGATTCTACACCAGCCCTTCACGTGCGTAACCTCATTGGACACTCCAACAGGCCTACGAGGAGGTGGGCAGGAGAGGGCAGGAAGTAAGGGGGCAGGTGTCAGACTGCTTTATGAGCTGTGTCACCTTGAGGAAGTTAACTAACTTCTCTGGGCCTCAGTTCCTTCGTTTGTAAATGGGATCGTAATAGTACCTCCCACTTCTGTTTGTCTTGAGTACTCACTGAGTTAGCGTACAAAAGTGCCAATTATAGTTCCCGGCACACAGTATGCACTCAGGGCACTCGGAGGACTCACGGCACAACAGAGAGGCATGAGCCAGGTCTTTCCAACCGCACCATGGCGTTCCCTGCCCCTTATTACGCTGTCCTTAGTGGGCGCTGTTGATTCGCCTATGCTCTTCCATCCACTGTACACCCCCTCTGTCCGTATTTGAGAAAATGTAGCAACATTACAGCATACGGCACACAGAGCCGAGGCCTAGCTAAATCACTCTCACCTGAGCCAAAATGTAGGGTGCCTCGTGTGTCACTTTGTGGGGAAAATATCATTTGGAAGCTAGAAAGCTTTTACAGTCATATTTACGTTGTGAGAAGAGATTTGGGTCATAAGAAATTACTGTCTCATCCCAGCATGCAAATTGCCTATCAGCTCCAAAACTGAGATGAAAATGGATGTTGCTAAGGAATATATCTCCTTGTTTGATAAAATTTCGCCTGAAGAAGCATTGGGATGCTTTTGTTTCTAGTCCTAAATTATTCCTGATTGGACCAAGGGTCAAGAAAACAAGAAAGAAGGTGCTTGCCTGCAACCAACTCAGTGAGTTGAGATTAGCCTGAGTGCCTCCATACCATTTAGCCAGTTAAAGACAACAGTCATATTACTGATAAAGAAACTGGTTTAAGAGAAAGGAACATACAACCTTGATTTTCCTGTCAACAAGCCAGTTAACAAATGTGCCAGGCTGCCACCTGTGGGCAGAACCCATGAATTGCATGTGCGTATTAAAATAACAACAAAAAACACATTGACATTGAACATTTTCCTGCATCGATGCTCTACCCTCTTCTATGTCAGTTACACATATAATCTCCTTAATCCTCCCAACACATCTATGAGATAGGTACTATCACTTCTCCCATTACTGAGGGGGAAACTGAGTCACAGAGCGATTAAGGCCCTTTGGAAGGTCACACGGCCAGGACATGGTGGACAGACCTTTTGAGTCTCAGTCATGACAACAAGCAGGACAGTGGAAAAGGGCGTCCAGGAGCCAATGGCGTGAGGCCTTGTGGGCCACAGAGAAGAATCTGGCTTTATTGTCAGTGATTAGGAAGCCAGCAGAGGATAAACAGGGAGAGACAAGGTTTGTTGAGCCCTAAGGGATGCCTTTGCCTTCTTTGTGAGGGGCATGGGTAAAGCCAGTAGGCCACCCAAAAGGCACTTACAGCAATGCAGGTAAGAGATGCTGCAGAAGTGTCCATGGAACAGCTGACATTTATACAAATAATTAGTGCCAAGGACAGGGCTACAACCCCAGCAAGGGAACCCAGGGTGCCCACGATGGGAAGCAGCAGGTTCTGAAGGCATTTCCAAGCTAGCTGGTGGAACTTGCCAGAGGATTGGAGGTGGGGGGTAAGAGAACAGAAGAGTCAAAAACGCTGCCTTGCAGGGAGTCTCGGGGCTGGGGAGGGGAGCTGGACAGTGCAGCAGAGTGGGCAGTTATTTCCACTGCAGCGGCCAGTCCCAGCCTCCACGCTGAGTCCAGCACTGAGAATCCATGGAAACCCGCCAGGTACATGGGGCTATTTGCAAAGGGTCACGGGCCCAGCATGTGGCTGGGTGCAAGACCCCAAGGGCAAACTCGGAGACAGGGAAGGTGAAGGGTGAGGCAAGAGAGGACATGGTGAACCTGGACAGATTCTGGGGCACAGTGGTTACTCATTCAACTTTCAGCAAATATTGATTGAGGGTCTGCAATATGCCAGGCACTGACTTACTACAAACTCTTTGTTCCAGTGAAACCTCACATAGAAGCGCAAACAAGTGTGCCTGGGTAGCAGAGCTGCTCCGGCTGAAGGGGCGAGGCCCAGAGTGCAGTTGCGGGCCCTCACTGTATCCTGAGGGGAAAGCCCTTGCGCAGAGGAGGTGAGCCAGCGTCCTCCGAGGGAGCAGGGCAGGGGATTCCTGCTCATGACAGCAGCTGGGGGAGCATGCAGACCCCTGGAATGTGCAAAGCGTGTGTGGGTGGGTCCATGTGGGTATGCATCTTCTAGTCAATGGGTAACAAATGCACAGAGACGCTCAGGTGGGGTCTCTAGGGTGTTTAGATATGAGGAATGGAGCTTCCTCCTCGAAAGCTCCAGGAGCTCTCGTCCACCTTCTGACGCTGAGTCAAGACTTGGCTGTTCCCAGAAGATGAGACCATGTGGAATGGAGGCAGCCCTGACAACCCTCTATCCTATTTCACTCATCCCACTGGTGACCTCCCATAGGTATCAAATGCCCCTTACTAAAATGAAGCCTTTTTCTTATTATTCAATCCCCAAAGGAGAAATAAAAAGAGCTCTTTGACCACTCACAACTATATTAAAATTCCTTTTCCCTTTCTCTTTTTCCACCTGACTATTCCACTGTCTCTAATCTATAGGCCAGTGTTTGGGCGAGCGCGCTGATTCTGCCTGGGGAAACGCACAGGAATGCCCCTCACCACAGGTACATCAGGATGAAGGTGTGCTTCCTCAGGCATGGCGTGCGGAACAGGTCTGCAAACGAAGGGCTCAGCTTTTCGGTGACATCCTGTTCGAGGGAGAGCATCTAGGAGGGAGGGAGAGCATCAGCCACCCTCCTGCTGTCATGAGCAGAGCCACCTGGGAGGTGGGCCTTGCCACTCCTGTGCTTCACACCCATGACAAGGAGCCCAGTTCTGCTCCTTCCCCTGGCAGCCCCAGGAGAATCTGCACCGGAACCCAGCCCCAGATTCAGTGATGTGAGATACCCTTTCCTAGATTTCACCTTTAAATCAGCAGGAGGCAGCTTCCCATTCTTTTGAGCGATGTGGTCCATGATCTTTATTGCTTGAGTGTTTCTTTTTTGTGATAACAGCCACCGAGGAGACTCCGGCACACACCTGCAGACACCACTCATCACTATCTGGCATTTTCCCCGGAATTCATCTGACGTTCCGCCCTGAGCAGGGTGATGCTGTTGCTCAGAGCAGCCTGCCCCCTCACACTGGGATGGTAATCCCTCAAGAAGATGAGGACCTGGGGTCACTGTGCGCTAGCCCATGTGGCCCGGGTGGGAGCTCTGTAAGGACCTGGGGTCACTGTGCGCTGAGTTTTGCTGACAGCAGACCTCATCTGTGGGTGGCACTAGAGTTAACCCAGTCTCCCTAAACGACAGAGTTAGAGCCCATGTGGCCCAGGCGGGAGCTCTGTGGGTCACTCATACTCCTAGTGTCACCTAAGATTTATAGACCAAAAGGGAGCCATCACTTCCTATGTAGCCTACCTTCTGTGCAGCAGGTGTCTCATCTCTCCTGGACGTGGCAGCCTTTGTCCCCCAGGGAAAATGTTCACAGAGGAGATGTCCCATGTACATTACCCGATGACATCAGGGTATCTCCAGGCAATACAAGGGCTGTTGAACACTTCTCAAAATATTTCCCAAACAAAATAAAATGTATTTACTGTCCTTTAAAATCAAATCAACACCATGCTGTCTCTTTCAAACGGGACGAGGAGGGTACAACTCAAAGACTCGGCCTTTCTGGCATAAGGGTCCTCTGGAAGCTGGCAGGCATTGATTGCCTCACCCTGCTTGACTATGCAGACTTTGCCTTTCACACGGACGAGGCAGGGAGCGGGCAGAACTTCCTAGCCATACGTGTACAACTCTTTCATTTAGGGAGACTGGGTTAGCTCTAGTGCCACCCACAGATGAGGTCTGCTCTCAGCCAAACTAAGACAAAAGGTGGAGGGATGAGAAATTCCTCTGTGGCTACCCCCTCTTCCCTCCACCACAGTAAAAACTGACCTGTGGAGTTCTTTGCCCTTCAGAGCCTGCCAAGCACTCACAGCGAATATGATTAACACCTTGTTTGTACTGATTCTGTTTCATAATGGCTCAGGGCACACATTCCCCAGAGATCATTGCACTGAGTAGGCCTGTTGCTCCTTCGTTCTGTCATGCATTCATTCAATCAAGATCAAATGTCTGCTCTATGGCTAGATGAGAGGCATTTCAGAGCCTTATTAATAATACCAATAGTTCTATAAAAATGAAGAAGTGGGAGAAGAGCAGAGATGACAGCAGAGAGGAGGAAAAGAGGGGGAAGAGGGAGAGGACCTAGAAGATAACAGAATATCTGCCCTCATGCCAGCACCCCTAGGAGAGACCCTAGGGGACTCTTTGGAGTGGTAGCCATTGCAGTGGAATTGCCACGGATGGAGCCTTTCCTACCACCCGACGCTGATACAGATTTCCCAAGGCCACTGAGCAACCCTCAGAAAGCTGCCTCCTTCACCGGAGAGCGAGGCTCCGCCTTGTGTTTCTGGAAGGTGCACATGCTGAGGCCCTGCGTTTCCCTGGATTTCTGTCTGACTCTTGGCATGGCTCACCTTTATCTGGGGAAACCAATCTAAAGAGGCTTTGTCTGAGGATGGCTTCACATGTAACCAGGGCTGCCTGGTCATAACAGAACAACCTGAACAGTACAAGTGGCGGGAAGCGCTGGCTGCACGCAGCTCCATGCGATATGTGTGTGGGAAACCCCGGGCTCTGTGCAGCCCTATGCATCATGCGTGTGGGAAAGCCTGGGACCAGCTCATCCTAATGCATCATGCGTGTGGGAAGCGCCGGGCTCCGCTCATCCCTATGCCTCATGCGTGTGGGAAACCCCGGGACCAGCTCACCCCAATGCATCATACGTGTGGGAAACCCCGGGACTAGCTCATCCCAATGCATCATATGTGTAGGAAACCCCGGGACCAGCTCATCCCAATGCATCATGCGTGTGGGAAGCGCCGGGCTCCGCTCATTCCTATGCATTATGCGTGTGGGAGGCGCCGGGCTCCGCGCAGCCCCGTGCGTTATCCATGTGGACACCATGGCCTTTGGAAGACCGCCTGCAGGTGCCCCCCACTCCAAGAGCCTGGTTCCTGGAGAGGACAGAAAGTGCAGCCAGAAGGGTGGCCGGCGCCCCTTCCCCGTAGGCGGGAGGAAGGGCCTCACCAGTAGTAGAGCAGGAAGAGGAAGGTGGGCAGGGAGACTGCCAGCTGCAGCCAACGCCAGTGAGGCAGGACATAGGCCAGCCCGGTAAGCGCCACCAGCCCCATCGTGAAGGCCATCTGGTACATGATCGCCACCGTTCTTCTGGAGCCCGAGCCAACAAATTCTGTGACTGAAACAGGAAGCGTGGTCGTTATGCGGGTTCCTCGCAGGAGCACAAAAACCCGTCGCTGTGCGTTCAGAAGCTCCGGCCCCAGTCCAGCTTGTCTCCCCGCGGAAGCTCCCACCCGGCCTTGCCGAGCCCCACCTGCTCCCAGGCTTCTATCTTGTGTGTCTCCCATTTCTCCTTCTCCCAAATCACAGCCGCGCTCACGCCTCCCCCTTCTCCCTGGGGCCCCGGACCCATCAAACCAAGGCCCCGGAGATCCACCAGGCTGCTTCCTTCTCTGGCTTTTCCCTGACCGTCCCTTTCTGCATGTTCCTTTACCAGCTGCACTCCCCTCTGCCTGCTTCAGGACTCAGTCCACGGGCCTCTCCTCCCCAGTGCCTTCCTCCAGAAGCTCCAGACTCAGCTGGAATATTTGTCAGGACCCCAGGGGTGTTCATTCATTTAGCAAATATCTTTGAGTGCCTACTGGGGACCTGGCACTGTTCCGGGTGTCTGGGGTACATCGTGAGCACAGGAGGTAGACTCCTGCCTTCGGAGGCCTCATTTGGCAGATGATCCACATCACAGATAAGAGAATGGAATCCCGGGCCGGGCGCGGTGGCTCAAGCCTGTAATCCCAGCACTTTGGGAGGCCGAGACGGGCGGATCACGAGGTCGAGAGATCGAGACCATCCTGGCTAACACGGTGAAACCCCGTCTCTACTAAAAAAATACAAAAAAACTAGCCGGGCGACGTGGCGGGCGCCTGTAGTCCCAGCTACTCGGGAGGCTGAGGCAGGAGAATGGCGGGAACCCGGGAGGCGGAGCTTGCAGTGAGCTTAGATCCGGCCACTGCACTCCAGCCTGGGCAGCAGAGCGAGACTCCGTCTAAAAAAAAAAAAAAAAAGAGAATGGAATCCTGTGTTAGAGCGTGATACATGTTAGGGGAACAAAAATGAAAAGGGGAAAAGGAAATCAGGGGAGTCAGGGGTGGAGGGGCTGCAGGTGGTGTTGGAGCGTGGATGTGGTCCCAGGTCAGAGCCCCTAACCGTGTGTGGGAGGGTGCCTAGCAGCAGAGGCTGTCAGAGGCTCCACACTAATGGGGCTGAGCCACCTCAGCTTCACCAGGCTGCTCATGGCATCTCAAGGCAGGAACCTGGGTGGATCCTCTTGGCCCTAGTGAATGAGTTCTCAGAATGCCAAGTGATAGCACCTTGTTTTCGAAGATGATAAAACATGGCTATTTCTTTCCCCCCCACCCTACCCCACAAAGGAGTAAAGGCGTGGCTAATCCTCACTGCTGTGTGCCGTGCCCTGGCCTGGGGGAGGACAGACAACTCTTAGGCTGCTTCCCTCCCGGAAAAGGTTTTTTGTTTTGTATTCTTAATCTTTGTAGAATATTTGAAAGGGGGAAAAAAAGGCTGATATGTAAAACTCCTCATGTTGGTTTATACTTCAACTTTTTCAAAATCCTGATTTTCAAAATCCTTATTTTATTTGCTACTGTTTTCTCTCCTAATTCTTGAGTGCCATTCAAGCCCATCGAGTTTGCTGTATTTCTTTTAAGGAGTTGCTGGTTCTTTCTTACGTAAGATGCTAGAATATTCTCTCACTTATCTCCTCTACTGCACCCTCCCCTCCGACTGCTGTGAGCACATCAGCATGGGGTCTTTCTGTTCTCCAAATACATCAGTTGATTAATAAATCACTAATCTAAGTAATAATGTAAGTGTCTCAGATACAAAAAGACAGGAGGCCACTCTAGCCTATGTCCTGCCCTAGTCACATAACAACAAGGAACTGGTGCCCCCGCAAGCTCCCTGACCCCAGAAACAACCCCCCACCCACGTTAGGCCCATCCCGTTCTACCCCGAGACCTGGCCTCAGTCCCATGATAATTACTTAGGGTGTAGCCGGCCATCCAGTTGCCCTTGCTGACCAGGCCCTGCACCAGGCGGAAGAGCAGCATGGATATGTAGTTGGGCGCAAAGGCCATGAGCACACCCGACACGGCATTGACCAGCACAGTACCCAGGAGACACAGCTTACGGCCAAACCTTCAGAGACAACGAGACATGGAGTGCAGGTGGGAGAGGTTGAAATTTGGGGTCAGACATTCATGGTGGAATGCCAAGGGTCACAGTCAGAGGACACTGCACCACTGTCCTGGGAAACTGCAGGGTCTATCAGGACAGCAGTGCCCAGTGCACCACCCAGACTGTTCATCTGTCCCTACAAGCTCTCCAGCCTTGCTGGGTCTGAAGAGGAGTCTGAGTGCTCCCAGCAGCATCACAGCTCAGCCGGGCAGTGCCCGCAGCCCCTCTCCAGTTCTCATGCCTGTCCCTTCACCTTATCTTCATATTTAACAGATGGCATCATTATTATCGCCACTGGTCAGGCTGCACCCAAACCAGGCTTCCTTGCTCCCATAGTCTTATCAACCATCATGGAAGCTTTTCTGTGCCATATTGAGCTCTGATAGTGTAGCCATACAAGGCTGTTTCTCTTCTCCTTTTTCCGGGAATGAAATGGGCAAATTACTCTCTAGGATTGCACTATTCCCACCCAATCTTTTCAACCACACCCCACGTTCTCCCAGAGCCAAGGAAAGAAGCCAAGGGCAGGCCACGCGGTGTGCCCACCCGCCCGTGCTCCCCACCCGCCTGCCAACCCCGTGCCCTCGGCCACCCCCACCTGCCTCCACCATGCCACTTAACTTGTCTACCTTGTGTCCCCTGGCCTCAGACCTCCACCCCACCTCAGGACAGCCCCAAACCAGCCAGTAAACCCTCACCCTTTATGAAACCATAGGAACTTCTGCCAGAAGCCACGTTTTCTAACCAGGGATGCTCAGTCCCAGCAGCGGCACCTGGCTCCATCCCCTCTCCTTGTCTCCTGCAGCGGCATCTGTGTCTGTCTCCTCTCCCTGTCTCCTGGGGCAGTGCCTGGCTCTGTCCTACCTCCCTGTCTCCTGCAGCGGTACCTGGCTCCATCCCCTCTCCCTGTCTCCTGGGGCAGCTCTGTCTCCTCTCCATGTCTCCTGCAGCAGCACCTGGCTCTCTGTCCCTTCTCTCTGTCTCCACCTCTGAGCTGGGCCCCAGACCCTCACCAGGCCTAGGTCTCAGGCCCCTCTCTTCTTCCTGCATCCCTGATTCCCTCCCCTATTGGCATCCTCATCCTGGACCCTCCCCACGCTGTTTTAAAGAGTTGCCACGCAACTCCACTCTCCTGCCTTCCAGTTTTCTCCAACCACCCTGTCCTGGGTGCCCCGCCCCGCACAGCAGATTCTGACCATTCCTCTTCGGGATCTCCTGGTGCATTTCCACAAGTGCCCTGGAGAACAGTTGTCCTTTGATCTCGCTGCCATTTCTCCTACATCTCCTTTGCCAAGGCACTTTCCCTGCCTACGTTTCTGCATTGCAGTTCTCTCTCAACACCCTCTTCCAGCGCATCCTGATATGCCGTATAGCCTTAAATACCAACTACTGGTGAAAAACCCCCGATATTGAACTCCAGCCCATACCCCTTTCCAGAGCTCACTCACATACCCAAGTGGCTCCTTGGCATCTCTTCGTAGATGTCTCAGGCCATGCAACACATCTCCAAACCTAACATCTCTAAGAGCTCTAGCTTCCTCTATAACCTCTCCCCTATCAACTGCTGAAACAAAATCCATTCCTAACCCTCTGCCTCCCATCTCAAAATGGCCTCACGAACATGCACCTGCTGGAAGCATCAACCTTCCTGTGTCCTCCCTTTCTCTCAGCCCGCCAACTGTAGAATCCACATGCAGCTTCGACCCTGAAACACACCTCAGGTCTCTCCACCATTCCCCTGGCAGCCCCACAGTAGCCCATAGCAGGGTCTGCTGTGTCTTGTCTCCAGCAGCTTCTGCAGTTGATTCCAACTGGTCATGTTCTCCACCACTGTCCCTTAGAATCTGTTCTCGTGGCAGTCAGGGGAGGCTTACCTGGACTGGCCTTTACATACCTGTCTGCAATGTAGCCAATGCCCAGAGAGCCAAACAAGAAGCCCGCATTCAAACAGGATTGAAAGAGGTCCAGCTTCCAGGAGTCAGCACACACCAGGTTGAACTGCCAGTCACACCACGGCAGGAGAAGGACAAAAAGCACAGAATGATGTGTGAGTCAGGACTATACCCTTCCATCCTCTCTTCAGCAAAGCAAATGCATTTCACGAAACTTGGTATCCCTGGGCTGTTTCACAGAGTTTTCTCCTACTACATTTTCATAAGACAAATTCAAAGTTTCTGATGAATCATTCAGCAAATATCAAATGCGATTGACCCTTGAACAACATGGGTTTGAACTGCACGGGTCCACTTACAGATTTTTTTTTTTTTTTCAGTAAAAGTTACACTGAATATGCCTATCTCTTCTTCTACCTCTTCCACCTTTTCTTCCTCTGCCCTCCAGGACAGCAAGACGGAGCCCTCTCTTCCTCCTCCTCCTCAGACAACTCAACCTGAGGACAATGAGGGTGAAACCTTGATGATGATTCACTTCCACTTCGTGGATAGCAAATATAGTTTCTCTTCCTTATTATTTTCTTAACATTTTCTTTTCTCTAGCTTACTTTATTGTAATAATACAGTGTATAATACATATAACATACAAAATAAGTGTTCATTGGCTCTTTATGTGATTGGCAAAGCTTCCTTCCAGTCAATAGTAAGCTATTAGCTGTTGAGTTTTCGGGAGTCAAGAGTTACATGCGAATTTTCAATTGTGTAAAGGGGTTTGGTGTCCCTAGCCCCTACGTTGCTCTAAGATCAGCTGTATTCCTAACACCTGGTACCAGTCTCATCATGCAGTAATTAAAGAGGCTGTTGTCAACAGCCTTGCTATTAGTAGTTGGTTATTGAAGGACAAAATGTCTTTGTAAAAGAAAGCAAAATGTCTTCTCAAAAGAGACACAACTGCTAGGTAAGATTTCTAAAAAGAAATATAGTCAAGGAGGTAATTTTTCCAAAACAGAAATGTACCAAGAGAAATACATGTTTTCCGGAATTGGCCAAAGATCCTTCATTAATTACATATTCATTAGTATATATTTAGTTATATAAGTGCCACCAACAATTCTGTACATTCTATTGTCGCTGTTGGGGCTGTGAGTGGCAACCGGAGAAGAGGGAAGCAAAGACAGTGGGGTTGCCTTGAGATAGAACGTGCCTTAGGGTCACATGTGGGTGAGACCGAGGGTTAGAAGAACATCAGAGGCTCCCATGCACCAAAAGCCAGAAGAGGGGAGATATCAAGGTGGCAGAGACAAAGGAAAAGACAAGCGTGGGTTGCTGCGAAGGGCTTGTTTTCTTTGGGTTTTTGTTGAAGGCAGATGCTTCCTGGGTTTAGAGGCTTTGGGGAAGGAAACCAGGAGTGGAGGGACATCCAAGAGTCCTACCTCCCCCAGCATAGAGCATGGTGACACTGGCACATGCCTAGACATGGTAGAGGCTGGATAGCAGAAGAATGACCCCTTCCTCTTTAGAGCTGAGACAGGCAGAAAGAGTGGACTCTGGGGAGAAAAGAGGGTGTTGGGTGGGGGCCTCTTGACCCCTTCAGTTCCTGGTGGGTGGGGGTCACATCCTACCTTCCCAACCCTGTCCCTCTGCACTGCTCTGTCCGCATCAGGTCCATGGCTTCCCTAACCAGAACACTGTTGAGTGTGATGGCAGCAAGTCGCTTCACAACCCTGGGCCTCAGTTTCCCTGTCTGAAACGTGTGTTGTACCCATTCCATCACACCCATAGGGCTGCTGTGTGCATTGGAGGGGAGGAATCACATGCAAACAGCTTTAATAAATAATAAACTCTTTTAATTTAGAAACAGGTTTTACTACCCCAACCTCCAACCCTCAAATTTCTGAAGTTGCCAGTTTGAGCCATGCCATGCCCCGATCCTGGGGTCAAACATTCAGAACTGGCTTTGAGCAGTGGCTTACGCCTTAATCCCAGCACTTTGGGAGTCTGAGGCAGGAAGATTGCCTGAGCCCAGGAGTTTGAGACCAGGCTGGGGCAACAGAGTGAGGCCTCATCTCTACAAAACATTAAAAAATTAGTCAGACATGGTACCATGTGCCTGTAGTCCCAGCTACTTGGGAGGCTGAGGTGGGAAGATCGATTCAAGGTGGCTTGAACTGTGTTCGAGCCACTGCACTCTAGCCTGGATGACAGTGTGAGACCCTGTCTCAAAAACAAAACAACATTCAAAGCCTCAAGGACTCTGAACTCAGCCAGCCTGGGTTCTGTCTGATGGCCTGACTAGTTCCTTCACATGAGTACTTTTTTTTTCCTGAAATATAGGTTAAACACTGTGTTACCACTTGAATCTCAGAAACAAATACAAACCTCTCCTAGTAACTGCCTTCTGCCCAGACCCCAGTGTCTGCTCCTGTGGGTGGTACAGCTCTGGGGCGTGCGACAAGCTACTGCTCAGTGTCACTTTCATGTTTTCTGCCAATCCCGATGTTGATTTCCTCTAAAATTCAGCTTAAAACACACCTTCTCCATGGAGCCCCTCCCAGGTCACCCACCCGATGTATAACTCTTTTCGACTGTGGTTCTCTTCCTGCCTGCCGTGTGCTCTGCCATTTCACTACACCTGGACACATCCTTCCTGAGCTTATCTGGCCTTCCCAGGGTCTGTGTCTCCAACTGTCCAACTCTCTCTTTGCAGCCTCCACTCGTGTGGTCCACTGTACAGGATTTCACTCAAGTTGCAGGGGTCAGGGAAAGATGTGCAATTATTACCTGGGGCCTCGGCTTACTCCCTTTTCAGCCATTGTTTTTCTGGTTTTCATTATAATCTTTGCAAGTTGGTGTCTCTGTAAGATGTGGCTGCCGCCTTCCTGAAACACCCTGTTGCCATTATGCCCCAGGACTGTGTATGGAGCCAGCGAGCTCCTGAAGCTGGAGTGCATCCCACCTTCCAACACCACAGAGAACTGACTCTGCCCCCAGGCTACCCTGAGGATGTTTCTAGAGCCACCTGCAAAGCTTGTAAACCTGCCATGCTTCCTTTGCTCCAAAATGCCAGCCCAACCATGAGTACCCTGACACATTTGTGCACCTTGAGAAGACAGGCCAGGCCCTGGGAGAAGCTGGGGCTGCACAAAGTTAGGGACGAGATGGAGGGTGGGAATCTCCTAAGCCCACTCGCTGCTCCTGCTGGGATTTCACCAGGGCCGGGGCAGCTCTTTCTGGCACTGTTATAAAGCAACCTACTGCTTCGTCACAAGAGCCACTCAGGGTCCTGGTGAAACCACAGATTCCCTGAGGATTCTGCCTCAGTGGGTCCCAAATAGGAGTCCAGGTGATCCTGAGGATAAGCCAAGTTTGGGAAACGCTGATGTAACTACCTCTGTCTCCCTTGGCCTGAGACCCCTTTCCCTTCCTCAGCATTCATGGCTGATGGAAGACACCTGGCCTGGTGTGGGGGCTGTGGCTGAAACCAGGACTGACAGAGGAGATCCTCTTGCTGGGAGAGTCAAAAGCCAGGAAAATGCCCACATTCGTCCCCCAGTGAACCTCATGATCTTAGCACCTAGCCTTGGGGTGGGAGTTAAACTTGGTGTTCAAACAAATTAGCTCATCTTCCCTCCTAAAGCAAGTTCCAATGTCCAAGGCAATGCTAGGTTAAAAATTAGTTCTGCAGAAGTGAATAAACTGAGGTTGATTCCCCAACAATAATTTTCAGTTTTGGAGGAGGAACTGGGGTCAACGAAGTTGGGGTTACAGTGGGAGACAATTCCTACCCAGGAACCAGTTTTCTATCACCCTCCCACTTACCCCTAGGCTTCCAATCACCTTGGAAAATCTTCACATGAATCCCACCACCCTTCCAACTCACCATGGCCCCAAAAGAACACTTTCTCCTGTAATCATGTCCTCTTCACCGTCTCTACCTGTTAGAGTTCCAGGATTCCCACAATCCTCCCCAAGGCTCTATATCTTGGGGTTATTGGAAGTCCCCTCCACAGCTACCATGGACAGGCAGGCTGTTCTAAAGCACTCTCAGGCTCCTCTCATCTGTCCCAATCTCCCCCCTCCTGCTGCACCCCAAGGTCCCCTCTTACAAGGCCCCTCCATCTGCCCACATGGCTGCCTCTCCGGGGCTCCCAGCTCAGCATTCAGAAGCTCCATTTGCACATACTCCCCAAGCCAGAGCCCTCTGCCAAGCTGCACCTCCTTCTCCCCAGCCCCAACAATGCTGGCATCTCTTACATCGTGTCTTCCCTTCATTCCCATGACAACAATGTTTTGGCCAACACTTCTCGCCGGGGCTCTTTCTTGGCCTCCTCAAGCGTCTCTCTACCTGTCCTAAAGCCTCCAATCCCACCACCACCCCTTCCCACCCATTCATGAGTCCAGCTAGGATCGCATTGCTTGCCTGCCTAAATAAGACCCAAACTCCTTCGTTGGGCGCTGAGGTAGCATTGCCAGGGTTCACAGATAAAAATACAGAATGCCCAGATAAATTTGAGTTTCAGATAAACAACTTTTTTTAGGATAAGTATGTTCATGCAATATTTGCAGTCTGAGTTATCCCAGTATCAAATATCATGCAGTATCTGGGACGTACGTATCTTATCCAGTTGGGTTATCTGAAGTTCAAATGTTCAAATTTAACTGGGCATCCTGTATTATACCTGGCAACCCCACACTAAGCACTCCATGTTCTGGCCCCAAGGTTAGACACCAGTGTTCTCCCCGCAACTCCTCATATCACGACCTTCATATCAGGGCTCTTTGTACCCTGAATGCAGCACACACTCCTTGGGCCCTGAGCCTGGGCTCAAGCTCTCCCCTTGATCTGGGATCTACTTCCCCTCCCACCTGTCCCCTCTCCTTGCTGGTCAAAATACCACCTGAGGCTCAGCTCAAAGACACCTCCTCCCAGAAGACATCCATGATCAGATCAGAGCTTAGCAAGTGAGATCTCTGCCTTCTTAGAGCCCACCAGTCCCTTTCCACCCCGCTCATGGCATTCACCACAGGTGAATGCTGTCATTAAATGAACATTGGTCTCACTCTGGCCACCCTCCTCCCCTCTCAGTCCCCACAAGACTGCAGACTCCTTGAGGGACCTCACAATCTTCTTCTGTATCTCCCCTGCGGCATCACACCCCTGCACCGGAACAGAGGGAGCATGCCGCACATACTGGCTGGATGTCTGACTGGAGGAATGATCACATCTGATCTCCTCAAAGCAGAGTATGTCTCAGTCCCAGAGAACAAACACGTCCCCATCCTGGTCTGCTTGTAGATTCCCAGTTGGGAATGTCAGACGGTTGGAGATCCCTGGAAGGAGGGCTGCCTAACTTGTCATTCATTGTTGGAGGATGCCTTGGAGACAAGATGTCTCTTAAGCATCGTAAAGCCAGTCGCACTGGCACCTGCTCTGCTTCAGGCAAGCAGGTAAAGCAATGCTCAGGCCCAGAGGGGAGGGACCCTACGCTTTCCTCCAGTAATAGCCCTAAATGTGTCACCACTGAAACCACTCAGGAAAGGGAAGACAGGAAGAGCAGAGACTCAAGAAGCCCTGAGAGCTTGGGCGAGGGTAGTGGGGGCAGACAATTGGGCAGGACCAGAAGCAGGGAGGACCCGGTTACCTCTTATTTCAGGGAAGCAGTGCCCGCGCCAAAACCACGCCATTGCTCGTTACTAACAGAGAGGCTCTGACAGGCTTTGGCCCACGGCTTCTCCAACCGACCAAGCGTCCACACTTGTTACCGTGCAATACTTTCAAACGGGCTCATGATGGGAAAAAAATGTGGTGACACTTTTTACTAAAAGATTCTCAAAGCAAAATGCTCAAATAATCAAGTAAACTACTCGAGCAAGGCCCTTTTGAGGCCATCGCCCTATCCCAGAGGCCCCATCGGACCGCACGGTGTGACTCAGTGTGGGTTTGCTCAGTGCTTTCACAGATCCCAGCTGAACCTCATATCCCTATGAGGCAGCTGCCCTCATTCCTGGTTGACTGATGAGGAAATGAGGCTCAGAGAGGCAGTTACTTACCCAGTGATGCTCAGCTAATAAGGGGCACAGCTGGGATTCCACCAAACATTCTCACTCCCAAGCCAGGGCAATTCCAGGCCACCTCAGCACCATCATTTAGGTCAATTGTCATCGCTCTTGAGTGGAAGCAGGGGGCCCAAGGTACTATTGGTGGGGAAGCAGGGCCCAGAGCAAGTTGGTAGTTCTGGGAGAAGCCAGTGGGGTAGGCAGAGAGGCTCCTGGTCTCCCAGCTGAATCCCATTCAAGCAACTCAGCAAACTGGCCCCCTACTTGTGCTGGCTGGTCTCTCCTGCCTCAGTGTCCTCCTCAAAGACCCAGAGTTTGTGGCAGATTAAACTAGAGAAAAGAATGCCCCGTGCCTAGGACACAGCCAGACAGACACTAAGTGTGCAATAAACACAGCCCCCTACCTGTTTCCTGATGTGGACCTGAACCTCATAGGGTTTGCTTTATATTTCTCCCTGTCCCAGGAACTCCCGTGTTACAGAGGCTCTTTTACCTCGGTGACGATGGAGGAGCCAGGAGTGTCGTACACCCAACCATCCTGGCAGGGGCCCAGCGGCAGGTGGCTCCTGTTGGTGGCCAGGCTAGCCAGGGGGTCTACGCAGCTGAGGGCGCTCTGGTTCCAGTCCACTTCATAGCGCCTGCACTGGCTAAGGAAGGCCTCGTCCAAAGGCCCTCGGCCTGGAACTGTATAGTTTAGCTCCTCCGCATGGCTCCAGCCACAGCGCTGGCTCAGCTCAGCCACCCCGGGGCTCTGGCAGCGGTGGTCAGGTGTGAAGCCCAGGAAGACGACGCCCACAGCAATAGGCGCAAAGGCAGCTGACAGTAGGCATAGGGTGAGGAAGGCTTGCTTCTGGAACCAGCCAAACTCCCCAACCTGCTCCAGAATGTCATCCACGGTGGGCATGATGGCTCAGCACGCTTATGGCCGTGGCCAGACCTGCCCTGGGCTGCAGTGGCCAGGTGCAATGTCTCCCTTAGAGATCTTTGAAAAGGAGTGGTTTGAAATCAGTTTGCCGTCCAAGTGTGAAACATCTGGAAGGCAACCAAGTAGAAATAATCTTTTACCCCATGGTGCTGGTTTCAGGAAATGGGAGAATGCACGTGGCTGCCTGATCAAATGTTTGCTTTGTCAGGGAGCGAGTCAGTGGGGTCGAAGCCTGAAGAGAAGTGGAGTTCAGCCGCAGAGCAAGAGGCGGGCAGGAGAGCAGGCCGCGCAAACCTCCTAGCGGCCCCCTCAGAGCTCTTCCAAAGAGAATATCTATTCTTTTTCTAGATGTGATGGTATGAGGCAAGTATTGGGTGACAGCCAGGTACTAGAGACTGTATTTGGCTAATTAGTTCCATGATACCATTTAAGTCTTTTTTTTTAGGTTTGTTTTCTATATGTTTTGGGGGAGCAGGTGTTATTTTGTTACATGAGCAAGTTCTTTAGTGGTGATTTGTGAGATTTTGGCGCATTCATCTCCCAAGCAGTATACACTGCACCCAGTTTGGGTGTTTTGTTTTGTCTTGTTTTGTTTGAGGTGGAGTCTTGCTCTGTTACCCAGGCTGGAGTGCAGTGACTTGATCTTGGTTCACTGCAACCTCCACCTCCTGGGTTCAAGCAGTTCTCATGCCTCAGCCTCCCATGTAGCTGGGACTATAGGCATGGGCCACCTCGCCGAGCTAATTTTTGTATACTTAGTAGAGATGGGGTTTCTCCATGTTGGCAAGCCTGGTCTTGAACTCCCGACCTCAGGTGATCTGCCCACCTTGGCCTCCCCAGGTGCTGGAATTACAGGCATGAGCCACCGCACCCAGCCCACTGAACGCAATTTGTAGTCTTCCACACCTCACCCCCTTCCCACTCTTTCCCCCTGATTCCTTGAAGTCCATTGTGTCATTTTAAAGAATTTCTTATAACCCAGACAAATCAAAATAAAAAATAGCAAGCTGACTGCTCGGCAGAGTTCTTGGCGATCCTGCAGCCCATACCCCCGTGCCCAGAGCCTGCTCTGCTCGCCTCCACCGAGCCTCAGTGGGGGCATGGTGTGTGTCCTTCAGGCCCCACTTCTATTTGTCTCTAAGGGATTTCAGGCCAGAAACTGGTGGAAAAGGGAGCAGTGGAGCAACCACAGGCCAAAGCTTTGGAGACCCACAGCCAGCTCCACATCCAGCCCTAGCGCTGCCCTGCTGCAATGCCCTGGCCTCAGGGTTGGCCTGCGCTCAGGTCCTAAGGGAGCTGCCACTGGGTAGTGGGGCACACAGCAGCAGCATCGCACAGCCACAGACCCCAAGAAAGGGCTGCAGCCAGACACAAGCCGATCAGCGAACCTCAGTAATAAAAGCATCAGCCTCCATTTTGGGTGCACCTACAAAGGGCTAAACACACATGATCTAGTTCATTCTCACAGCAGCCTTCAAGGTAGATGCTGTGACTATCCCCATCCACAGCTGGGAAAGCAGGGGCTTACGGAGGTAAAAGCAGCCTTCAAAGTGTGCAGTTTCTGTACTTGAGCCTCGTTCTTCTCCGGAGCAAGCTCTCTGGATTTATTAAGCCACCTTTGGCCGCCTAGGGACTCCTCCCTAGCTCACGTGTTGGATCCTTTGTTCATTCCACAAATATCTGCTGAGTCCCTATACATGTCAAGCAGTGGGCCAGGCTCTGGGACACAGAGATGGGGCAGTCCCCAACTCCAAGCAGCCTAAGGTCCAGTGGGGGAGATACTCCCAAGGGTGATGGCAGCAGCTGCTGCTATAACGCCAGCTGCAGCAGGGAGGCGCTGGCGGGAGCTGCACACTCCATGGAGCTGGTGGGAGCCCCCCCCCCCGGGCCGGACTACAGCCGCCCAAACTTCCGCTGTGGGTCCAAGCCTCCTTGTGCCGTTGGAGGGGATCAGGAGCGGGCAGGATCTGCCTGCCTGGGTGCAGCTGCACTCGCCTGACCCACAACTGCAGACCTGGACCTCCCGCTCCACAGAGCAGGCAGTAGCTGAGGACAAGCAGAAACCCCACCCCTTCCAAGTCGGCAGGGTGGGAACTTCCTGGGTACAGCTGTGGCAGCACTCCCAGGTGCCTGAGCTGGGCATCTCTGCAGCCTGCACCCTCAGGGGCCCAGTAAGACTCCCCCTGCCGGCCCCAGCCCTGCAGGCTCAGGGGTGTCAGCTCCCACTGCCTGGCCTCTATCCTTTCCTGGTGCCCACTCTGATCTCAGAGCGGGGGTTGGGGCCAGGCCCTGAGGCCATGACTGGCAGCAGGAGGCAGACAGAGTCCTGGGCAGAAGTGGGTGGGTCTCCAGTAAGGTACCACCTTCAGGCCAGGGAGGGCCTGAAGGCTGGGGGCCAGGCTGCCAATCCCATGAACTGAATGGGGATTGGTGGTGCCTCTTCTAGACCCACCCATGGCTGCCTGTGGACCAATCAGCATTCACTTCCTCCCCTGTGAGGTCCTTAAAAGCCCTGGTCAGCCAGCGCAGGACAGAGGACCGCGGGAGGATGAAGAGGGCAGAGAGGCAATGGGACAACCAGCTGCAGAAAGGAGTACCCTTTCTGCTGATAGCTGGAGACAATGGGATGATGGGACCACCACCTGTGGAAAGGAGCTACTGTCTCTTCTGAGAGCTGCAGAGATGACCTGCCAGCAGAGAGGAGTCACCCTCTCCGGGGTCTCTTCTCCACTGAGAGCTGCAGACATCAGGACGACCAGCTGCAAAGAGGAGCTACCTCTCCAGGGCCTCCTCTCTTCTGAGAACTGAACACTGGACAGATGACCTGCCTACAAGAGGAGCTACCCACTGCGAGTCTCCTCTGAGCTGTTGGTAACACTCAATAAAGCTCATTTTTGTCTTTTTCACCCTTCATTTGTCTGCATACCTCATTCTTCCTGGACTCAGGACAAGAACTCACGCAAAGGCACAGCAGCCACAGAGGTTTCTGACCAAAAAATTGACACCTCAAAGATCTTGTAACATTTTGGGGCTTGTCTGGGATCTGTGGAAGGGTGAATAAAAGCGTATCTGTTTTCTGTCCTTTATTTCGGAGTCTCTAAAGTCCCTAATAGTTAAAATGAAGGAAAAGTACTAGGCCTGTGTCAGCCAGTTAAAAGCTACTAGCATGGCTGTTGGACTGAAGACACGGAGGACAGGCTTGCTGGGGAAGATGCTGTCTACCCATCACCCTGGGGTGTTGGGAATTTGTTCCAACTCAGTTTGGAGGTCTAGCCCTCTGTGAAGGCTTTCTTCTTTTCTTTTCTTTTTTCTTTCTTTCTTTTCTTCTTTCCTTCCTTCCTTCCTTCCTTCCTTCCTTTCCTGTCTCTCTCTCCCTTTCTTTCTTTTTCTTTCTCTCTCTTTCTTTCTTTCTTTCTTTCTTTCTTTCTTTCTTTCTTTCTTTCTTTCTTTCTTTCTTTCTCTCTCTCTCTCTCTCTCTCTCTCTTCCTTCCTTCCTTCCTTTCTTCCTTTCTTCCTTTCTTTCTTCTTGTGTCTGTCATGGTTCCTATCTCTTATTTATATACAATGATAAATGTTAAGAATATTGTATTAAACCAGAGATGTTAATGGGTAGAATGAGCATTCGGCTTAGTCATCAAAAGTATAAAATAGAAGGTTAAGAGTACCACAGACAAAGAAAGTGTGCCTTAGTATCTGTATGTAAATTTGTGGTGAAAATGTTCTTGTAATTTACTTGGTTGCCAACTTAGGGCCAAGCAACTGAGGCACAGAAAAGAAGCATTGCCTCACGAAGGCAGCTTTTCTGTAAACATGAGGGCAAAGGGTACAAGGTCCCTTATGTGCAGGCCTTCTTTGCCTTGCAGGGTAACCCAGAACTTTGCCAATGTTATAGGATTGATTTATCAGCCCTCCTAGTGGCCATCTCAGGAGAAGCTACTAGGGGCAATACCAGGGAAATGGGAAAGCAAACCCTAGAGATACCTCCCTATCCAGGTTCTCCTGAAGCTTACCCCAGCCATGAATCCTCATTTTAGGCAGGTTTTAGTCTCCACTGCCCCTCCAAAAGATGGGGTGAATGTGGCCCCATTAAACTCCAGGTCCCCTTTTCTCTCCAGGACTTAAGGCAAATTAAAGGGAATCTTGGTGAGTTTTTAGATGGCACTGATAAGTATAGAGAGGCTTTCCAGAACTTAACTCAAGTATTTGAGCTCCCCTGGAAGGATGGCCATGTTACTTTTGAAACAAACCCTGACCACTGCTGAAAAGTAGGCCACTCAGTAAGTGGCAGAGAATTTTGGGAATGAGACTTATCCAATTGGAAGAATAGCAGTATCATTGGAGGACCCTAAATGGGACCTCAATGATGAAATGGGAGAATGGAGGAGGAAACTCTTTCAGGTCTGCATATTGGGTTTGTGAGGGACTGGGACAAGGCCTCTCAATTTCTCTGGGCTATCCATGGTAGACCAGGGATTGGATGGGAGTCCTGATTCAACAGAGGGACAGCTGGTCCTGGGGGATGTGTTTATTACTCAGGCAGCCCCTAATATCAGGAGAAAGCTGCAGAAACAGGCCATAGGACCAGGTAGTATTTTAGACCTCCTGAAAGTAGCCACCTTTGTCTTTTACAATAGGGATCAGGAAGCCCAAGAGAGGGAAAGGAGACACAAGAAAAAGGCAGAGGCTCTAATAGCCTCCTCGCTGGCTCACAAACCCTGGGGTCCCCAAGATGCACCTGCTAACTGCGACAAATGTGGTGGACAAGGGCATTTTAGGAGGGACTGTCTGGACAGCAGGAGGAGGCCACCTTGACCCTGTCCAGGTTGCAGTGGGGACCACTGGGGGACAGATGGTCCCCAGAGATGTGAGTTGCAAGGTCCAGGGCCAGTCTCCTGTCAGCGGGACTGACAGGACCCAGAGCTGCTCTTCCCAGGTCCAGTGATTCAGACTGCCATTGTCATCCAGGAGCCCCAGGTGATTCTGGGAATCAGGGGAAGGAAGGTGGACCTCCTCCTGGACTCAAGTGGGCCTTTCACTTCTCTCCAATCTAGACCCCATCCTCTCTTAGCACAACCGTGAGGGGTGTCTCAGGAAAGCCCAACCTCTTAGTTGTCACCTTATTAGGCCAGGTCCCTAATTCCTGGTACTCTCTTTCTCTCCCTTGTTTGAGGAGTACCTGGCCCCACAGCTTCACTTGCTTGTGATAGCGAGGCAACAGAGGAATGGCCTCTGCCAGTTACTAACTGCAATTTGGCAAGGACCATCTGGGATTAATTTAATGGGTTCATACACCCTCCTGAGGCATCTTTTTGTCCCAAGCTTCAGTTTGA